TTGTCTTTTCTGTTCGTTTCATTTTCTTTTGTTGTTTGTTGGTTTGCTTGGTTTTTTTTCTAATTTCAAATTGGTTTGCAAATTTTCAAGTCATTAAACAAAAGGACAGTGCAATATTTGTGCTGCCATGTAGTGAACACTATCTTTGTGTCCTTTATGTATCTTTAATGTATCGTGTGGCATTTTGGTCGCATTGATCTAAAGTACTGCATGGAAACTAAATTTAGAATAAAATATAACTTTCTTCTTTCGAGATCGGATATTACAGGTTTTGAAGTTCAATTTCCCAATATGTTTTTTTAAGTAATGAGATCTTTGTATACGTTAAATGTTAGAATTTCTATTGTTACGGCTTGGTTTTAACTGTTAGATGATTGTATTTGAACACGAATACACTCATACAGAAGGTACTGAGAATAAAACTATTGCTTGTTTTGTTTCAGGAGTATAGACATTTATAACACCAAGATCCTGAAAGATTTGTCGTTTTCAAATAATAACATTCAAATAACAAAGAGTAAGCATCATTTTGACGTTGAAGCACTACTGTACTCACCTCCGGTGCACTGCATTAAGACTCAATAATTAATCAACAATTTCCACAAGTAGCTTTCTTTCGTCTCAGAAACAAAAAAAAATAACCGCGAAATAATGATATTTGATTTCATTTATACGAAAGTAAACGTTACATAATGAAACAGGTTTTTACAGCAACATTGTCCACCGATGTTGTACTTAAAAAATAAATATAGTTCTAAACGTATGGGTTTGCTATTGTTGAAGGCTGTAAGGTGTTCTGTAGTTGTTCAGTCACTTGTAATTTGGTCTTATGTGTTCTCATTGGCAATTATTTCACACAGTGTCGCACCACAAAGCAAGTTAAAAAATAACTCGAAGGTATAGTACAAAAATGCAGAACCAGCAAAAATTCAACCATGAAACAAAACAAAGACAACACATAAAAAAACAACGAGACTAACTTGTATTCAGATACCACGAGGGATTTGCTTATCGTCACATTTCAGTATAAAGTATCTAAGCTGCTGAAACTTATAATAAATTAATAAATTAATAAGGCATTCAATATTAGGTATCCTTTTTAGAGATATAATTCAATTGTGAAAAAAATGCTATTTTTTCTAACTGGAAAACGAAGTTTCTGAAATTTTATATAAAGTGTGGAAAGAAATGAAAATATAACAGGTGAATGGAGAAATAAATGATATTGAAGAAATAACATGATTATAATTTACATTGTGGACATTTTTATAGATGAGAGCAACCGTGTACCATATTAACAAAAACAGAAAATCAGCTGAAAATCTACAAGAAGGACAAAAGAGATCGAAAAAAGTATGCATTTTACATACACACGTTCAATCGAGATGGCAAAAAAGGTGCGTTCACATGTTTAATAATTGAGGGTATAAGTTACGAATAAAAGGTGAACTTATTTCTTATTTTATGACCGGAGGTTGTAAGTTACGATTATGTAATTGCCTCAAGTTGCTTTTTTTATCATTTTCATTATGGAATGTGACAATTGTTAATGATACCTTGTTTTTTTGATAAGACAATTCTTGTTTTTTTTAGTTGTTTTATTTGTGTTCATTGTCGGGCAACGAATACTATAATTTGAGGGCAAGTGTACCAGTCAGTAAAACAATGTATTGCTTTCCTCTACTCCTTTATAGACATAGATAGAAATCGTTATTGAACATGACATAGACCCACTTCAGTAGACGTTATTGTCTGCAGCTGTATTTTTCAAGTATAAAATTGAGAATGGAAATTGGGAATGTGTCAAAGAGACACTAACCCGACCAAAGAGCAGAAAACAGCCCTAGGCCACCAATGGGTCTTCAACACAGCGAGAAAATCCCGCACCCGGAGGCGGGCTTCAGCTGGCACCTAAACAAAACTGTGTACTAGTTCAGTGAAAATGGACGTCACACTTAACTCCGAAACATATAAATGAACTGAAGTTAAAAAACATACAAGATTATTGTCGTATCATGTGTAAACTTTTCGTTTCTGTTCTGAAACTGTATGTGATCACTATACAGTTCTGGAGAATAATAACACTTATATTGTATCTGAACTAGCTTATTGTTGCGTTTACATTATAGTAGATACAATTTCGAGAGCTTGTTATCATAAGGGGATTATATGTCTAACCCAAAACCTTCGTCAACAGAGATGAGAGAAAAACGACTGAAATCATCAGTTTACTTGTCTTGTGGTTTCTTTATTATCAAAATGACTTTTTTCAAAACCTCATAAATATATTGCGTGCATTTTTGCTTTCAAAACAAATCCTAACATTTAAAATGAATGTCTATTACCGACTTTGGAGAGAGAAGTAACTTATTTATCATACACTTGTCTAAAGCTTTTTACCTAATTCGTCTGTATCCGATTAATTAATTGTGGTCAAATGTCATAGAAGTTACAAATCCCACAATGTATTAAAAAAAAATAAGAATTTATGCATGTGTCATAGTATCCATGTGCACCAATATTTGTAGAATTTAAATAAATTGAGAAATTTCTCATAGTAATTTCTAAGTTCTGTCATTTTTAAAATTCAATGTGTAAATACAAGGACTCTGCAACAGTTTTAGCGTTTGCTTTAACATTTTAAAGTTTTGGTATAAATACATTGTCATATAGATAAGCAATTAATTATCAAAATAGAAGTATGAACAACACCGTCACACAATAAACCTGTTATGTACAGTATAATCAATAAAGCAATTGTTTACTCTCAGATGCCTCCGCCTTATACATTGTATGTTTCCACCAGTACAGTAGTAATAGACAGTGATTTATTCGCAGCCGATAATGCAGCAGCAAAACAGTCGACACAGATGTTAAAATAGATAACGCAATATTGTAACCGTGAAAAGGCTGGTAAATCTTGTAAGTCAATGTCATTATGCCTTTCTTTTAAAAAGTCAAGCCATTTCAATGCGGTAATTAGGGATATTTCATTACTGTTTATAATTGGTAAATAAAGGTAATGTCACAAGGCCATACGGCATAGGCATATAAGACATAAAGCTTTATTTAAAGTCGGTGTATGCAAAACAAGTACAAAAATAAGCTCTGAAGAGCTTTTAAAAACCTAGATCGACTCCGGCAAGCATGTAGGCAACAGTCTGAGGATAGGCACACGGAAAAGGAAATTGTCAGGAAAAATTTATTTGAAATTACCTTCTCTGTAACTGTAGGTAGTACATATTACAACAACCATTTAATTGTCATTGAAGCTAACTTTTTGCACAATACAGGTAGAAGCAGTTCATGTGTTTTACCAGTTTCATTGCACTCTCATTCTTTGATTTGGTTTCCATGGGTCTTGTTTTGTTCACGGGTCCACATGTTAGACGCAGCTGTAATTGACGACAAAATAGGCTACAATCCCGCAGTGTTCTGGAATTTACATTCCTGTGTTTGTTTCGGGTCAAACCCATAATAGTACTGTTCTTTTGGAACCTTTATCGGCATAATGTTCCGAACTGTAAAATCTTATCATTCCAAAATGTTTGGTAAAAGTTCAGAATGGAAAAGCTTAGAAATAAAAGTTTGGCATCAAGAACCCTACCAACAAGCAACACTTATCATTAGTATAAAACAGACAGACAGCACATTTTATTGGATTACTAGTTACTTCCATTAAACATGCACATTTAGATGGGACTGTGTAATCGCACTAAGGAATAAAGTTAAACGTAATAGGCATAGGTGATTTATAGAAAATCGTCATAAGAACTGTACGTGAAGGAAAAACTGTAGAGATTGACAACCCAATTATGACACTTGTCCGAAAATTGTGTCTCTTACGTTAGATAAGTACAACAATTGGTGCATTGTTACAGCTTTGTCAAGCCGAGCATTCGTTGTCTTTCGGCATTCGTTAAGACGGACACACAGTTTATTCTACAAAGTGAAAGTTTCAAATCGAGAACATATCGAGTAAAGAAAACGTATTATTCATAAGGTAAATATCTTATTGATACATACGTGTTTGAGTTACTGTCTTTTGTTCTTTCTTTTTTTAGCAGATAATTTTTCTGATTTCTTTTTTTTTAAAATACTTAGTAGATACTTGTTTATTCCTAATAGTCCTGTTTACAATTTCCTCAGTTGCACAGAAAGCAGACTAATGACCCCCGTTTACATTTAAGGTTCATGTGGACCCTATGGCTAAAATGGCTGAGTTTTCCTCACAAATTTTACTATTGAGTACAGACAAACCAGTGTATCTGGAATGTTTAAGGCATAACATGCCCTGGCCTAGACAAATAAAATTCAGAAGCATTTTATGTTTTAGAAAATAAAACCTTGACTGAGGGGGCGGGGCCAAATAATCTCCATGGTAATGAGATGTGCCAATGCTAATATAACTGCATACCAAATATTATTGACCTACCACTAGTGGTTCACCATGAACTAGACCTAATCACAAACTAATACATTGTTGACGCCGCCGACGCCGGAAACAGCATACCTATATTTCGCGTTTTGACTCCGTCAAGGCGAGACAATAAAATTCAAATGCATTTTATGTTTTAGAAAATTTAAAACTTAACTGGATTTTGCTGTGCACTTTTTTTCGTCCCTGCAGAAGATGATTAATTTAACAAACAGTCGAGTTTCACTTGATATGGTCCACTCAGATACACAGTTTAAATCACCAATTATTGTCAGGTATCTATTGTCCTTCTATTGTTCATGTCAATCAATACAGTTCACTTCAAGTATTACCTGTGGGGAAGTTATCAAAATCCAGTTAAGTTTTTAATTTTAATTTTCTGAAACATAAAATGCATTTGAATCTTATATATCTAGGGCATGCTATGCCTTAAATAATTTCAAGATGCACAGGTTTGTCTCCACTCAGAGTAAATTTTGAGGTGTAAACTCAGTCATTTTAGCCAAAGGGTCCACATGAACCTTAAATACATCACTAAACTATATATATTTAACATTATGACATATTCGAGTTCACCGATGAGCACTGGTCAACCTAACACACATTGATGAGTAGACCACAGAACGTCTTGACTGTTCTCTTACTAAAGGTTAGCAATTGACATATACAATTAAGTAATGTGTTTGATTTTACTTTGTCTATTGTATTATTAGATTTGTAGCTAGGAACATATTTCAAATTATTTTTCATGTTTGATTTCAAAAGATACATAATATCTATAGATGACATGTTTATCCCGTCATCTGGATGCATCTGGTCATATTTTATTTTGTTTCTTATTTTCCATAACGTCCATTTGGTCAAATAAAAAAAACAAATTTACGTGCACATTTTGATTCGATTGACCACTGTTACCTCCCAGCATCATAATCAACTCATCATAGATACAACGGGCTTAAAATTGTGTACGCCAGACGCGTTTCGTCTACAAAAGACTCATCAGCGACGTTCGAATCAAAAAAGTCAAAAGCCTAAATAAAGTACGAACTTGAAGAGCATTGAAGACTCAAAATTCCGAAAGGTTTTGCCAACTACAGCTAAGTTAATCTATTCCTGGGGTAGAAAAACCTTGGTATTTCGAAAAAATTCAGTTTTGTAAACAGTTTATTTATGATTATGACCATATCAATGATAATTCATTTCAACAGGTTGGGAAAAACCCCTCAAATGAGGGATAACCCCTCAACGTAATGACTATCCCTTTTATGAGGGGTACATTTCAAGTGATAAAAAATATTTTTTTGTAAAAACCACTTTTTTTGTACAAAAGGGCACATATTTATATTATCTGAAGAAACTTTTTCCAAAGAACTATACATCTATCTGGTATTATATGGTCAAAACATGTCCAAGAATTTTGTAATATTCCTGGACTGATATCTTCTTTATTATTAAAAATAAGTGGACCCCTCTTTTAGAAAAGTTGTTCCAAATATAATGAATTTTTCCCATTTTAAGTTAAAAAATCTAAGTTTTTCTTTTTTCTTTTCTACAACAGTAAAATGACCCCTTGTCTGAGGGACAGTCCCTCATGTAAGGGATATCCCTCATTTGGGGGGTTGTTCCCAACCTTTTTCAACACAGAAGTGCTGTCTACTGGGTTAGTGATAAGTATTCTTGTATTTCGTTATTCATCTGAACATTCAATGATATGAAAATATCGCTGATTCTAATGTGTTGCTCTTCTAAAATAACCTTGTAAACAAAGACATGTTCTAGTTTTGAAATGAAAGTTTCGAATTACCAAATATTCTAATATTAAGCAGTTAAGAACATCAGTCTTTGTCTTTGGATTATTGCCAGTCTATAAAAAATAAGTCCACGTATAGATCATTTTTCGATAAAAAAAGGGGGAGATATATTTAGATTTATTCCGGTAACATTTGAGCACTTACAAAACAAATATTGTTCATAATACTTTTTATCAAATTATCACAGCCAATACTTGCCAATCGTTTTCAAGCTGTCTCACGGTTTATGAAGAATTCGATATAGCGACTGTTTTGTTTACTTCTCATGAATAAATCTATATATACGTATCGTTCTTATACTAACTTTGTTATTTTTTACCGTGAAAACGTGTCTCTCTATTTTATTAATTTTCAACATTAATTTCAAGAAAAGGATATATATCTATAAATCAGGCCTTCGTGCCTTCATAGATATAAGAAGATGTGGTATGAGTGCCAATGAGACAACTCTCCATCCAAGTCAAAATTTATAAAAGTAAACCAATATAGGTCAAAGTACGGTCTTCAACACGGAGCCTTGGCTCACACCGAACAGCAAGCTATAAAGGGCCCAAAAAATTACTAGTGTAAAACCATTCAAACGGGTAAACCAACGGTCTAATCTATATAAAAAACGAGAAACGAGAAACACTTATGAACCACATCAACAAACGACAACTACTAAACATCAGATTCCTGACTTAGGACAGGCGCAAACAATTGCAGCGGGTTTAAACGTTTTAATGGTACCAAACCTTCACCCTTATCTGAAACAATAGTGTAACATCACAACATAGAAAGACACACTATAAAATATCAATTGAAATGGCTTAACTCAATCAAAGATATATTAACAACAGTGAACATACACTGAACAAATAAATTTGATCTATGATACAATGTAAATACAAAATAAATAAAACTAAGGGAAGAATAATTAAAGTAACATGTTATACCGCTGTAAAATGTTAAACAATTAAGAAAAACAATATGCTTAAACAATAATATCAGCCATTTGCAATTACTGTAAACACAGGTAAATGAAAATAATTTTGTTGTTAGGTAAAGAAGTGAAAATTTATAGTAATACCAAACACTTATCAAAGCTGGTATATAGACCAGATATAACCCTGAATAAGTAAACATTAAATAACAAAAAAGCATTACAATTAGTATCAACAGGTCAAATAAACAAGAAAGTACGATTTGAGAGTACTCGCAGTTACTGACAGCTAGTTAAAAGCCAAAAACAATTAATAATAAAAAATCATGCCTCAGAGACTAAAATCAACTAAAACACATCCAAGGGATTTAGTATTTTAACGTCATGGACAGTCAAAGAAGACATGACTTGTGCAATGCCAAAAATAAATGTATCGACAGGCAGTAGGATAGTTAGGAGTTAACCTCTTTATAGATCAAAATGAACGTGGTATGTCTTTATACATCCCGTTTGAAAAGAATACAAATTTAGTTATGTTTTAATTTGCTGATGACAAATCGATTTTAGTGCCAATGTAAACCATATTCAAAGATCTAATTACAACATTGGTAAGATAACCTTTACTGATAAGTTTGTTTAAAGGTTCGATGAGTTTACACGGATCACATAGTGATTTCCGCGCTTTAAGTACAATATTGCCGTAAAATTTAGGATGTGAAATACCGTTTTTAATCAATTTTCTACAGGTACAGCCAAATTTACTAATCAAATCTTTGTATCTATGAAAGAATTTAGTAAAAGTTTTACGTAATTTATGGTAACGAAATCCCTGACTTAATAATTTACCAGTGATGCATTGATTACGTTCGTTAAAATCAATGACATCACTACACACTCGGGCATAACGAACGAGTTGGGATATATAAACACCGTATGATGGAGCCAAAGGAACATCGCCGTCTAAAAAAGGAAAATTAACAATAGGGAATGAAAAGTCGTCTCTTTTGCCGTAAATTTTAGTATGGAGTTTTCCTTTAGAGATTGAAATGTCCAAATCTAGAAAAGGACAACTACTGCTGTTTATGTTAGATTTAGTTAAAGTAAGTTATTTTGGGTAAATTTCGGTAGTATATTTAGAGAACTCTGGATTATTTAACGAAAAAATATCATCCAGATAACGGAAGGTATTGTTGCCTTTATGCCAGTGTAGGATCCTTAATTTCAAAGAGATATACGTAAGAAAGATACTCATTAAAAAAAAGATTATTTAGTGACATGGCATAAACAATAATGTGAAAGGGACATACATTTGAATTTAGTTTAGTTTAGTTGAACGATTCACTATATTGTTGATGTGGTTCATAAGTGTTTCTCGTTTCTCGTTTTTTAGATAGAATAGACCGTTGGTTTTCCCGTTTGAATGGTTTTACACTAGTAATTTTGGGGCCCTTTATAGCTTACTGTTCGGTGTGAGCCAAGGCTCCGTGTTGAAGACCGTACTTTGACCTATAATGGTTTAAATTTTGACTTGGATGGAGAGTTGTCTCATTGGCACTCATACCACATCTTCTTATATCTATACTTAGTATACAAATATTATGTTACAGACCGAATTTGAGTTTCCTGGTGTGTGAATGTTTTAGAAGTGTGGGTTTTGGACATAGACATATGCTTGAATTAGTCAGTTTACGACCCTTTTTGTCGAGCCTGCGACTTTTGTCGCAGAAAGCTCGACATAGAAATAGTGATCCGGCGGCGGCGGCGTTAACTAACTTCTTAAAAGCTTTATATTTTCCAAGGTGGAAGACCTGGATGCTTCATACTTTGTATATAGATGCCTTATGTTATGAAGTTTCCGTCTGTCATATGTCCATTGTCCTTGACCTCATTTTCATGGTTCAGTGACTACTTGAAAAAAAAAGTTCAGATTTTTTGTAATGTTAATTTCTCTCTTATTATGAGTAATAGGATAACTATATTTAATATGTGCGTACCTTGCAAGGTCCTCATGCCCGTCAGACAGTTTTCATCTGACCTCGACCTCATATCATGAATCAGTGAACAAGGTTATGTTTTCGTGGTAAAGTCCATATATCAGATATAATAAGCAATAGGTCTTCTATATTTGGTGTATGGAATGATTGTAAGGTGTACATGTCCAACTGGCAGGTGTCATCTGACCTCGACTCCATTTTCATGGTTTAGTGGTTAAAGTTAAGTTTTTGTGTTTTGGTCTTTTTTTCTAATACTATATGCAATAGGTCAACTATATTTGGTGTATGGAAATATTTTACAATGCACATGTCAGTCTGGCAAGTTTTATTTGACCTTGACCTCATTTTCACGGTTCATTGCTCAGTGTTTAGTTTTTGTGTTTTGGTCTGTTTTTCTTAAACTATAACCAATAAGTCAACTATATTTGTAGTATGGAATGATTGTAAGGTGTATATGTCTGTCTGGTAGATATCATCTGACCTTGACCTCATTTTCATGGTTCATTGGTCAATGTTAAGTTTTCATAGTTAAGTTTGTTTCTTAGAAACTATAAGCAATAGGAAAACTATATTTAAGGTAGATTCATGGTATACCGCCATCTTGGATTGTACAATCTCAGTACAAAATTGGTCTAGTTATTTGCCCAAATCTGCAAATTTGGAGACAGATTTGCAATTTAATGGTTAGATTGATTATTTATATAAAGAAAATTTGGTGATTTATTGTAATATACAAAATATTTAAACAAATATCAAATTTTGTGTTATTAGAATCATTTTTTTCAAATAAACCATTTAAGGGGAGATAACTCTTTTAGTAAAAAAAATATATACTGGACTGATAGGGAAATTTTTTATTTTTACTTGTAGCAAGAAAACAAGTTCGGTGACACCATTATTTTTTTAAAACATATTATAAAACCTATCTTCTTACAATTTATTTCAAAATTCTATCTCATAGAATTTTTTTTATGCACACAAATGTGTTTTTTCATGAACAACCTAACCAAATTTAGGCAATTTTCAACGAATCATAGCTTGGAAAATAGCACGGTGACCCATACTTTTTATTATATTTTTGAAAAAAGCATAGTAAAATCTTCCTTTTGGCAAAGTATAAGAAAATTCTATCTCAAAAAGTATATACTTATGATCTACCTTAATGCATAGATTGATTGTAAGGTGTACATGTCTGTCTGGCATGGTTCATCTGACCTTGACCTTATTTTCATGGTTCATTGGTCAATGTTTAGTTTTCCTGTTTAAGTCTGTTTCTTAGAAACTATAAGCAATAGGTCAACTATATTTGGTGTATTGAATGATTGTAAGGTGTACATGTATTTCCGGTTTGGTTTATCTGACCTTGACCTCATTTTCTTGGATCATGTGATACTTTTAGTAAAGCTTCATATTTAGGACTATCAACATAAAATCAATGGTCAGTAAAGAAGGCGAGACATTTCAGCGTGTGCACTCTTGTTTGTTCTTTAAAGCCTGTATTGTTTAATGGGATATGTTATATTGAGTCTTATCATAATACATGTACGTTACAGATTGAGTTTGAGTTTCGTTCTTATTGAACGAATTTTGGCGGAAGCTGTGAACCTAGAACAGTGACAATTACTTTAAAATAATCTGTTGCACTTTTTCTGTAATGTCTGAAACAATTGATTATATAATTGAGAATGGAAACGGGGAATGTAGTTTGTTCATGTGTTGTTTTGTTACACCACTGTCCCAGGTTAGGGTAGGGTTTTGCGCCAGCAAACATGTTAACCCCGCCAAATTTTGTATGTGCCTGTTCCAAGTCAGGAGCCAACAATTCAGTGGTTGTCGTTTGCTGCTGTATAGTATTGTTCTCGTTAATTGTTGTGTACATAAATCAAGCCGTTAGATTCCTCGTTCGAATTGTTTTACATTTGTCATTTCGGGGCCTTTGATAGCTTACTATGCGGTTTTGGTTTTGCACATTGTTGAAGGCCGAAAGGTGACCTATAGTTGTTAACTTCTACGTCTTTCAGTCTCTGTGGTGGAGAGAAGACTCATTGGTGGCCTTGTGCTGTTTTCTGCTCTTTGGTTGGGTTGTTGTCTTTTTGACACATTCTCCGTTTCCCATCTCTATTTTAAGTAATAATGATTAGCGTGTAAATTGGAAACTTATGCTGATCTGAAATTCAAAAATTAAACAATTTAACACAAAATACATCGTTTGTTAAAAATATGATATTCTGTAATATTAAATTTTACAAAGTAAGTATCAACAGGGGGAGGAAAATTATAACCATATACAGAATTATTAAAGAGACATTGTTGTAAATATTGTACGTATGAGGATTTAAATATTTGTAAAAATAGTTGGTCTAGAATCTGTTTTAAGAAACTTTAAGAAGGAGGATTTACCGTACCACTAGTTTGTATCTTCTTTACATGTGATAGATTTATGTATGCCGAAAGCTTTACAGTGACTATAATCAGTATTTCCACCAACAATAAAACACTTGTACAATTCTTGAAAATCTATCACATCGTTACCGTTGCTCAAAATTTAATACATAAATCATTTTAGATAGGTATTTAGGGAGGTCTTTTGTATATTATGAATTTTGAATGCCGTTACATTTTCGCCGGTAAACTGATCTAACATTTATATCTCAAACATTTATATATTTATATGCAAAGTTCAAAGGGTATGTTGCAAGTCTTACATGTGTTGCATTGCACTAGATATCAAACTATAATATCATAAGATAGAAATGCAGTATTGAACACTTCAAGAATACTATTTATAAATTATCAGGTTGTAAGCACAAAAACTTCAAAAATATAGGTAAAAGGTCAATAAAACTTTACACAGTTGTTATGCATAATATGTAAGTGTGTATTATACTTTGGTGAAATTCGGCTTATTAAATTTGGGAAAACGCTAGTCTTATAATAGGATTTTAACGAAAACTGATATGTAGGTGTATTAAGTTATTTCGAAGTGATTGACAAATTAAAAAAAGAATGGTAAAAACTTACTTTTTTAAAAAAAATCACAAATTTTGAGAAGCCTCGATGTCATCAAAAACTGATATATAATATAGGCATACTATATGCATTCCAAATTATTTCCTCACGTCAAAATTGTGTTTTAAACTTTATTTTTGTTAAAATCAAATGATAAATTCTGAGAATCAATGATTTTCCTAGGATTTATATAAAAAAAAATGTATCATTTTCTATTACAAAATAATTCTCTGTGTCAAAATTATTGGGTGCCCACCATTTACAAATGCCTACCAAAATACATCGTGCTTGGATTTTTACAACTCGTATGTTAACGAGAACACATCCTGAATTGATTGCTGGTGTCAAACACAACTTAATTATGAACATTTGCTCTGTAAGCGTCAGTCTCTTTGCCTCACATAAAAATGTGCAAGCGGAGCCCTTGCTGACCTGTCAGTTTTCTAGTAACATAGCATTTTCCATATCGGCCTTAGTATCAGGCCTGAGACTCCCATATAGGACCGATGGCTTTAGCCAAATGTTTAGATAAGGGTCCAGAGATGATACTAGGGGACTGGTCATTTACTGATTTAGAGAAGTCATCAAATTGGCTATAATTTTTGCTTGTTTGAAATACGGAATTGTTCAAATCTGGTTTAAAAAAAGAAATCGATGCCCCCAACCTCCATCTGAAGCATTGAAAAATTGAATTCCCCCCCTTTCCATTCTCAAAAATGTTCAAGCTCCCAAGACCCCCGCCCCCCCCCCCCCCCCATTATTCCCTCCTTTTCAGGTTATACAAATGACCAGTCCCTAGGAGCGATATGGAGAATACCATGCAATGATATATTTATCACATATTTAGCCTACGAAATTGGAACGAGAAAATAGAATAAACAATTGAATAAAGAAAATGTCTTCATATCTTTTCTTTTTGTGTGTTCGTTCTTTATTTTTAATTTGTTTCGTTTATCAATAATTTAATTTTGAATGTAACACGTCTTCTGATTGGCTGAAAGTTTTTTGTCTATCAGCTCATAGACATAATTTTGTCATGTGACCGTGACGTCATCAACGTTTTTTCATGATTTACAGAAAAAATATTTCAGTCATTCCTTAAATAACTCCCGTAACCACATCTGGTTTTCTCCGACAATCAACAAAGACATATTGTTTCTAGCAACGACGTCATAATAAAGGACTTCACTTTAAACAATTTTATAAACGGCAGGGTACCTTATGTTCAAGTCAATTTCCGTATGGGAGCGAGAGCGACACCGGATATTGGTACTAGCTGAAGCAGAGAGTGGTAGTATAATGCAGACTGTCGTACATATCAATATATAAGTTGCCGTACACTATCGAAATTTTGTATTTGTGATTTACATAACTTTTAAAGACGATTTATGAAAATTGTGGTCTTTTGTATCTATAGTAGGACACAATTAAATATTAAGAAGAAATATCAGTTTTTAGAAGCATCAAACCGGCTTCTCTTCTTGATCTGAAGTAATCGGTGCCTCTTTTTCCCGGTACTAGATGGTAGTTTTTTATCTCCAGATTTAATTGTAGTTTTTATCACCAGATTTAATTTACGCTGATTCCTAGATGATCAGGAGAACAGGTCAATTCCCAATATATCAATATACAAATCTTTATACACGCGCAATAATTACAAATGCATAAAAAATTGCAATTCATACCTGCGATTATAAAATTTTACAACCTCTCTCCGCTTCAGCTAGTACCAATATCCGGTGTCGCTCCCATACGGTGTTAATTAAGTCTCGAAAATGACTCTCGAAACCGGAAGAGGGTCGATTTGGATTTTGCACGTGTGGACTGATATTGATCTCGGATTGCAATTTAATGGGGAGTCCATATTGGCCATGGTTATTTGCCCCGGACAGGAATATGTCTTAGGCAAATCTGCATTCATGTATTACATATGCAAAACCTTATGTTTTTGTTAAAAATATGAGATAAGTGTATGTACTTCTTACCATGTCTATTTAAATACAGATTAATACATTGCCTTTTCCATATCGGCCCTGGTATCATCTCGAGACCTTAGTCGAGGGCTGAAATGGGCCGTGGGATGATACATTGTACCTGGCCGATTTGGAAAAGGACATGTATTAATCTGTTTATCATATACTACGGATGTACGAACGCAGCCCGGCTGATTACCTATATCAGCCCGACCACGTGACGTCATTTAGGGTTGATATGGGTTATCAGCCTGGGTGTGAATTTATAGCTAGTTTACTTCCACTCGTTACACATATGCTATCAAACTATCATTTAATGCTAATAATATGATAAGCTTATTCAAAGCATTTTTTTTGTGATAAAGGACACATTTGAGAGTGGTACATAGTACATATATATGCATAAAACGATTTAATTCATGCGTGATATTATAACTTTATTTAGAGCAATGGAGGTAACATTCCTTATCCTATGTCTGAACATCCTGGTATTTTCCAACAGTGAAAACCCTGTCACTGGCAGAGGATACAACATTCTGTTTGGTAACCCTGATGGAGTAAATCCCATATCAGGTGGGAAAGATCCCGGCATACTCCAGCGTCAAATACTGAACTCAAATATCTACACGACAGATTCACACTTTAACATTGCAAATTCGAATGACTCCAATAACTTGGGCAATACTTCAGATACATGTGAAAAGATCGACACAGTTGAGTGGTTTTACGGAGAAAAGTCATACCAAGATAAACTTTTAAAATCGTTTCAAATCTCAGGTATGTTCTTAAAAGTAGTTAATATTTGTATAATAGTGTGCTAAAACAAAATAGATAGTAAGTTTAGTAAGATACTCACATATATACCTCTTACACAGGTACTTTTAGCTGCTTAGCAACTGAACAATAAATTAAATGCTTAAATTAGAATAAAAGAAGATATTGACTATACTTCAATAAACAACCTTACGACACAAAAAAACCAAAAGACATCAAAACATACGGTCTTTAACAATGAACATCTTTACCATATATATAGCAAGCTCTAAATTGCCAATAGTTTAAAACAGTTGTGAATTTTTAACAGAGACCATCAAAGATCTGCCATCAACATCAACTTCCCTTAAAGGAAAATAAAACTAAAGCAATGTATCACTGCAGGTTCTAATGGCCTCGGAAAGACAGGATTAAAATAGTTGCATTTATCTGTCCCAAGAAAGGAATCTTGTCAGTAGTTGTCATACGTCATATCTTAATGTTTTTGTTATTTGGAGAATTGGGTGTAATTGGCAAATCTTTTGATTGTTTCTGTTATCTTTTTAAAATTATTAACATAATTAATGATAATAATTTTTATATATAAACTGTTTTATTTGAACGTTATGAGAAGAATATCCCATCTAATTACTCTAGGTAATGTTTAAACTGACTTTTTTTTTCATTTCACGACGTGTGACAGTGCAATAATTTCCGATATTCAAAAATAGCATTTTGTCCACACTCCACTTTGGATAAAAAGACCATTATCTATGATGGTGTTTGACCAGAACGAAATGAAAAAGAGTGTTAAAAAGGAATATCAAAGACATAGGTTCATGAAAATTAAAACTAATTACTAAAGTAATTCTATAAACCTTTCATTAATCCAATTTTCACATAAAAGAAGGTGAGAAATATATAAATTATTAAGAAAAACATAGCGCTCGCGCGAATAATGATTTCAAAATTCTAAATTTCTGTACGATAACTCCTACTGTCCTTTATAAAACAATTTGGACAGGATGAAGAGTGGTTTAATTTACATGTATTTAAGCTTGTTTAAGTTTGTTTTATACCTGTAACAGGTGACGGTAACTTCAAAATTCAAAGACTGGCCTTCACTTCAAGTCCACGTAAGTATTTGTTTTACATAACTTAAAGTATGTATTCCGGGAAACTGTCTGAGAACTGTATTTCTTTTTTTTTTTATCTTATAAAGCAATGGGTGTTAAATAAAAGCAGTATTTGGAACACGGAAAATCAGAAATAAAATGACAATTGTATTGACCAGAATATATTACTTTTTGACGTATGAATGATTCTTAAATGTTTTACATTTTCTGTTAATTGTTAATAGTCGAGATATAGTTTTTTGTATACTCGCGTGACGTGACTTTAAGCAATAAGTAATCAAGCAATCAATCACCAATTAATTGATGGCTTCTTTTATCTTGTAACAGAAAATTATATTTTGACGTGGTCTAAATTTTTTTTTTTTTTTTCGTTTCCTTTTTTGAAGGCTTTTTATTTTATTCTCAATAAGCATTATGCAAACAAAAGTAAAAATATTTTTGTTCTCATTCAGAGTTTGTTCACCACAAGTACTATACATTTCCAAGTCATCAGGTTGTACAGGAATTTCACGAAACTTGTTTACATGAGGGTACAAAGTCTCTCTATGGGGAGAATACTTGGCAAAACAGGAATCCTTCAGTCACAGACGAATTTGCTGCTGCTGTTTGTGGTCTTAGTTCTGTGTATGATGCACAAGAATATCGAAAGTTCTTAGAAACATGGGGAACAGTAAGTCTATCTCAAATGAACTCAAATAAATATTTCTTTATCTATGATATTATTATACAAATAGGAGAAGAGTGTTCAAATACAAAGATATTTTTACCACTTGTTTTCTGTAAGGAAACATACACATTTTGAAATTGCTTTGATAGCATTTCTGTTTGGGAAAAACCTCTTTTACATTTAATGATTTTGTTATGTGTGTAACACATCTAACCTATTTATTTGTTATGCACTTAAGCATGTTATATTTGCTGCTGAGGCTGGCAAGAAGAAAATAAAAAGATATAAGAAGATCGATGTGGAATATTTTGATTATGTGGAAAACAAGGTATTATAAATGAATTAAGATATGAAAGAAAGTCTCTACTAATATTTGTTTGTTTGTTTTTTAATTATTTTTTTTATCTTGCGCATGTATTTGTATATAATAAAAGTTTTACAAATATCGAGTATTTCCAACATTAGGTAACGATTGAATCCAATATGCTGATAAGTCATTAATTAGAATGGACGACATTTCTTATGTAATATCAGAAACGATAAGTTAATATGTCCCCTATCTAGTTATAAGATACGATAAGTTAATATGTCCCCTATCTAGTTATAAGATACGATAAGTTAATATGTCCCCTATCTAGTTATAAGATATACAGAAACGGTAAGTTAATATGTCCCCTATCTAGTTATAAGATATACAGAAGCGATAAGTTAATATGTCCCCTATCTAGTTATAAGATATACAGAAGCGATAAGTTAATATGTCCCCTATCTAGTTATAAGATATACAGAAACGATAAGTTAATATGTCCCCTATCTAGTTATAAGATATACAGAAGCGATAAGTTAATATGTCCCCTATCTAGTTATAAGATATACAGAAACGATAAGTTAATATGTCCCCTATCTAGTTATAAGATATATTTTATTTTAAGTATAAAGAAACGATACCCTCTTTCATTCATGTTTATTGTTATTTCAAAGGAATCATACATTAAAAAGTTACTTACAATCTGTTTTTGAATTGTTTTATTACAGGTGCCAGAAGCTATATTGCCTTATTTAAACAAGGATGCTAGAACAATTGACTTCCGAGTTTTTGCTTCAAGTCCATACTTTCAAACACGGTATGGAGATTATATGAAAACTCTTCATGTAGGAAATGACGAAGAACTAGAACCTGTGTTTCTAAAGCTTATAAGTATAGACATGATGTTTCAAAAACAGTTTTGGAATTTACTTAACAGATTCATTGCGCAAAGTACTTGTAACGATAATACTAGTGTACAGACCATTGCGGACAAGAAGAACTTGGTGATACAAGCTTTGAACGAATATAACAATAATGCATCGATTCCACAAGGTAATACTGTATATTTGTGTTATAATTTTAAGAAACTAGTATAGATACTAATGCGAAATTAACCGTTCGTCAATGACATCTGATTGCTGTTTTGACATTGATAAAATCTATTTTCGTTTTACCTATTTGAAATATAGATTGGAAATATTCATTCATTGAATTAATCTTTCAGTCTTAACTCTCTAAAGGGGCATTAGCTACGAGATATAGGACAAAATAAAATATGAATTTTTACCAATCATTAATGAAAGTGAAAAATTGATATGATAATTCGCTTTTAACAGCCAGTTTGGTACAGTTTTTCAAAATAAGCAAAGAAATATCGCTAATGAATTATTCACTTGCAAGTGAATAATTCGACCTCATTATATCCGTATTCATGTGAACTTCAATTGAACCCCTTAGCTAGAGATGGGTTACGCATGAACTAGGCGTGTTCGGCTATTAAAAAGAAAACAATGTCAACATTGAAAGTGAAACAAGGGTAAACCATTTGGGTGACTGATTCGATCAACAAAAACTCATTCTTATACAGGTAAAAACAAATATTAACATATTTTTTTTTAATTGAAATCAAACAGACCTAGGAAAATCCAATTGCACGAGTTCGCTTTCTATTTATATCTATGTTTATGTTTATATCGGGTTATATGACCGTCGGCAGTCTTCGGAGGTCACCTCGATAGTTAATTATATGGTGTCTAGACTAAAATACACACGAAATGCTGATACATATTATCGAAAATGTTTATTTTAAGACTTTTTATTATTTGGATATACGTTTTAGTATGTTATAAATCAAATTTAAGAATTTGAGTCAAATCGGTGAACATGAATGTGACAACTTATACCTCTTTAAGCAACATGGCAGAAATAGTGAAAGATTTTTTTAATCTATTAAAAATTGTTTTATAAAGACATGTCCTTTTACAGATTCGAGTATTGAAGTTTCACACTGGAAACTCTTTACAAACATATATGACAAAAGAGACGATTTTAGTTCGCTATTGGATATTTTCTTTTTACCATCAATTAGTTTAAACATTAAGTGCCAATCTGCCTAAGAATCAGGCAGTGGTGAAAACATGGCAAACAAAACCCCACTCAGCTTTACATTAATTTAAGTTCAGAATGTATAATGGTGCATGAATATAACATTCCTTTCCTTTCTCTGTTCTGGTAATTCAAGATATAATTTGGTTGAAATGCACTAGGAATTAACAGTTAAGGGGAGATAACGCCATAATTTGCTTTCATTCTAACCAAAATGTATCTAGATATTTCTCAAATTACCAGACACGCAGAAACGAAAGACCTGCCATTTCTAACTCAGGATGAGAGAACCTTCAAAATAGGATAGTTAGGTCGGTGGGTTTTTTCTGCCATGTTTTGAATTTTTTTCTAAATTGCCTGATTCTTAAAAAGACTGGTACTTAACTAAATTCTTTTAAAAAATACAACGATTTGGCATGAAAAATTGGCTGTAACTGTAAAAACCTATACTTACAAACAGGATATCGGACCCTAATTTTATGTACATAAACTTCAAAGGATCAATTCAACACTATAATACGATCTTGGAATATTTTCTTCTGGGTACTTACATTGATTTTGTTTTTAATAAAAACAAACTAAATTCAAATGATGTATTATTATACATTTATAAACGATCATAAACACTTATGGTCCTACACCTTGATAATACTTATACTTTGAAATTGCACATGGTCAACTTTTTTCTCGTACTGTTTATGATGTCTTTACATTTTATCCGTTGAATTTGTGCTGATTGATATTTAAGTTTGCGAAAAGATGCCTGATTTATGCTGAAAAAATAAACGAAAATCAAATATGTCACACAGCAGCCAACGACAACCCCCGCTCAACCCGCCCCTATCTTGGACAGAGTTGTAACATGATAGCATAAAAACAAACTGTTCGAAAACATAACTTTTCATCAGATCGGCACGAAGCATACACACAACAAAGATAAAAACACAAAAACTCAAAGTACTGATCTAAGCTTAACATTACTCGTAGTTACGGATAGCTAGCGCAACGTCATTTAAAACCTATAAATAAAACAATTGTTTTCCGTTTATTGTTTATTTTGGCGTCTTGACAGATGTTCCATTTAATAGTTTGCAGGATTTTTTTTTGCTTGCAAGACTACAAGAATACATAACTCACATAAATATACATCTATTAAACCAAATATATAAGCCATAAAGGAGCGCATCAAAATATATAATAAAAAAATTAACGCGTCATATATTATTGATGTCTTAATGTCAGAGTGCCATTATATGGTTATATATACTAGTATCATAACAATGTTTTTTTTTATGATAGACAAAAATATAGTGGTTCCTACTATCTGGCCAAAAGGAACCTATGCTTTAGTTAAAGTCCAACCAGAAACATACGGAAGCACAGTTTGTCCATCAGGAGTGCGATGGGATAGTGGTACGGTCAATTGGTGTACGGAAGACCAGAAAAATGACTGGTCCCAAAGTCAACACTTTGCAGGTAAAGATATATACAAAATACAAATATCGTTGGATTACTAAAGTCTGCATTCTTCTACTTGAAACATTGAATAAAATTTACGGAACTGAGACTTTATCATTTCATCACTCAGAAAATAGAACTCTGCTTTTAGACTGATGTACCCCTATTTTTGACATTTTTACCTATTATGTCTGTTTATTTTGTTCACACATTGTTGTCAATATAATGGAATTTTATGCGACTGTCATACAAGTGAGAGGTTTAGCTAGCTATAAAACCAGGTTTAATCCACCATTTTCTACATAAGGAAATGCCTGTACCAAGTCAGGAATATGGCAGTTCCATTCGTTTGATGTGTTTGAGCTTTTGATTTTGCCATTTGATAAGGACACTTTCCATTTTGATTTTTCCTTGGAGTTCGATATGTTTTTTATTTTACTTTTTAGAACATAAAAATCATGCTTTTTTACAATCTTCAAGATCCTCACAAAATGCTTTAGTTGTGAGCAATATTGTTTAATGAGGCCAGCGACTGAAGTGAATATCAGGGTTTCAAAAGTCACTTAAACCACAAAAGACAGTGTATTGTTTTATTTTACATCAAACATTTAAACCCTAACCATACATGTAACAGCACGTGACGTTGTGCAGTGAATATGGGTTTTCATCAGATGATTATGCCGTTTTATTCAAAATCCAATTCATATAATCCAACATTTCTTTTTCAAGTGCTTATTGTAAGTAGTTAAGAATTAAAAATAACTTAATATTATAAACTTACCGTATAATACTTTTTCAGGATCCAAGTCAACAGGAAACATTCAACTCAGTTTCTGTGTAAAGCGCGAAGAAGCACCGAACAGGGAAGTACGAGATTGGCCAAAAGGGGATTACTGTATCCCTCAATACAGTGGTTGTCCCGAAGGTAAGGATTTTTTTTAAATATGTAGAATTTTGTTTGATTTTGTACATCTAAGGCAACAAAAAATATGATTTGAACACATCGTCAACGTCATGAATAAAAGACTATTAGCACAGCTCATTAAAAATTGAAAAAAGCGTTTGTACAATGATGTAAATGTTATATTTAGTCAAAGTTCATACTTTATATTTTAATTTGTAAGTTTCATGCTATATTATATTTTGTCTAATTAACATTACAGTATAAGAAATGGATTAAAGAATTTTTCCTGTTTATGATAACTGGAGGCTCCATGGAGCCTGAAGTGCTGATCTAGTTAACAATTATGCCATATTATTATGAAGCAGATACATAAATATCAGGAAAAAACGTATTTTTGAAACCTTCCCATTTTATTTTTTATAGATATTGTATTGATGTTCATTTTTACTGTTTAAAGTTTTATCTTTCAAAATAAAGAAAAACCTGATATAAATTATTGGAAAAAGGTCTTCGAAGGACAATATCGCCTACAAAAAGTCGATTATTTTGCAGTCATTTACCGTTATTTTTTTATGATTTTCAGGCAAATCGGCAAAAATGGTAAAATTCGTAAAAATAGTAATTTAAGGACACAACTCTAATAAGTATACTCTATAAACTGATGCAAGAGTATTGACATTGTTGTATATCTTGTATTGCTGATACCCTGGACAATCAACCAATCATGAACTACAGTTACTTATCATTTGACTGTTTACAGTCTCTGTGTATCCGTTATTGATTTAAGGATAATAGGCAAAAATGCAAAAGATTGTCATCAAGAGCGCTGAGACCTATCTGAGGTCGATTTATCATTTCGGCCATGTTGGCATTTTTGTAGATATTGTAATTCTATATAGCTATTAAAGTTTTCTAGAAAGAGCGAAAATGTTTAAACATCGTCATTTAAGGGAACAACTCATATAAGTGGTTAATTAATCATTTAAGTTATAGGAAATGTTTTGTAGATTTCATATTCTGATGGCTTTTGCTGTTAAAAAATTCTGTCTCTCTTTTATAGTTTTAAAAATCAAAGGCATTTTTTTTTTAAAGCTTAAACAAAATTCTTTTAAGATGAAAATCTACTATACATGGTCAATATATAACTTTAGTCATATAAACATAATGGTAGATCGTTTATTACTGATCATTTTTGTTGTCCATTAAGCAGTAACTTTTTCGCTGTTTAAACCTCATCAATCGATTCAGAAGATACAAATTAAGGTCACCAACAAAATATGAAGGAATCTCTCGAACTTCAAAAGAAGCGAGACTGGGAATATCGACATGGAAAGCGTTGCTTACTAGGCATGCATCACGCGCCATGCGAATCCACATTCAGTCATAATGTCAAAGTCGAAGTTGACAATTAGGTTGTTGAAATCATCACGTTTGTCGTAAATTCTAATTTAAAGTCATGCATATGTGTCAATATCAGGGAAAAGATCAAGATTTGAAACTGACCATCTAGTTTCAGCAGTATCCTTCATCTTAGGTTCACTAGTATAAAGAAGATGCAGGCACTCACAGAAATCTGTTTCAACATAAGTTGAATCATTTTTGGCCTCCATTATGGAGTTCATTATTTCGAGACGAAGCGTATTACAAGTTGTTTAAAATCTAATAAAACATGTGAAAACGTGAAAAAGATCATTGAGTGCAGAGAACGAAAAACAAATGTTCAAATCATATATGTCATAGAAAACATAATATGTTTGTTGTCGAATGAGGTTTATGTTTCCGGACATTTGAAATTGTCCTGTTTTCATTGCTTTTGGTAGAAAATTGAATAATGATAATCGTGACATCATAAAAAGAACGGCCATACGTCAATTTTTCAAAATAGAAAAAAAAGAAACATTTTCCATTTAAAGGGACGACCGTTTGATATTCTGGGGGAGGGCGGCATGATATTTTCCCGGATTTATCATTTATTTTAATTTGTTGCTACGCATTTGTATTTTTTCGCGGCTTGGTACACATTTGTGTCCTCAAATATCCTGCATTTTATGTTGCAGAATATTCATTTTCATCCAGTCTTATGCAAAGTCATTGATTTTCAGTTCTTACCAGGCCAAGTTGTTCATTTCTAAAACCCCCCTCCCCTAGAAAAATAACTGGTCGTCCCTTTAGTAATTGTTTAACTATGATTCATTGTGCTTATAGCCTTAAAATACTAATTCAAAATTTTAGCTAGAAACAGAGGCCATATTTAGGCCTTATCGAACCTATTCTTTACAATGCTTCAAGTATACTCGAATGGAATTGATAACTATTTTTCTCATAGGTATAGTTATTTAATATCAATAGTGATTATACAGGTTTTTCGTCTGGATATGTTCGATGGGACACAAAGGATAACAGTTACGGCAGATGTAATCAAGCTTCTGGATATTACCCAAGCGGAAAATACAGTACTGATATAAAGATGGACTTCTGTTGCAGGTATATCATCATATAATTACATTTCGTAGAAGTTTCATTCGATTCCGTAATTTTGATTGACCGAGGCATTCCAAAAGCTTAATTTTATTTCCGTATAAAAGGCAACATCTATGACTCCACTAGCTATCCCGAACAACATAAAAAAAATGCATAGAAAAAACAAACGAAGGGCTTGCTTTTTTACTCGTAATTTCATTGATGTAGCATACAAATGTAATAATATGAATTGAATGGTTCTGTTAGTAATTTAAATTTGGTAAATTACGAATTTATAAAATGCAATATATCGGTTATTATGCTTTTTTTTAACTCATCGGAAATTCTCTAATGAATATATTTAGAAAGTCAAACCAGTGAAGTTATCTTGCATTGTTTGTTTACGAAGAAATCTGCATGACTTTTTTGATACTATATTATTATTCATTATATGACTAAAAAAAACAATTTCTTTTCTCGTTGGCTAAAAGCATACGGTCTTCTCTGATAAAACATTATATCCACCGCGGGAAAAACCATGAGAGGTTAATATTAGATTTGGAACAGCTAACGTGTCCCTAAATGAAGATATTCCAAGGCAACTTCAATGACGTAGGTTTATAACATCGTGGAAATTCTAGTTTTTTTTCTTTTCATGCACCACCTAGTGGCATTATGTTTTTGGTCTGTGCGTCCGTCCGTCCGTCCGTCCGTCTGTCCCGCTTCAGATTAAAAGTTTTCAGGTTAAAGTTTTTGGTCAAGGTATTTTTTTATGAAGTTGAAGTCCAATCAACTTGAAACTTAGTACACATGTTCCCTATGATATTATCTTTCTAATTTTAATGCCGAATTACAGTTTTGACCCCAATTTCACGGTCCACTGAACATAGAAAATGATAGTGCGAGTGGGGCATCCGTATACTATGGACACATTCTTGTTCTTCTTGTTTTGGGTGTAATTTTATTCTCCTCTTCTAGTTTTCGGTGTATTTTTTTTTAGTTAGCTTTATTGAATATTTCATCTTATAAAAGTTAGCAACTGCAAATGCAGATGATATATTTAGTATAAAAACAAGGAGCAGTTTTAAAAGTATCTTGAGCAAATACTAAAAAATTGGAGAAGTATAAAAAGTCATATAATAAAACAATTGTTGATATTTGATATCAGTTGACCGTTGGCCTCGGTGAATATCATATCTTTGGGACTGATGAATAATTGTATCAACCTCATCAAAAGTCAATAATTGTATAATATCTTATTGCACTTTTGCTAATAAAGCTTTAAATTAATGACATCAATGTTTTATATATAGGTTTGCTATACAATAGAATGGTTAGTGCAGGAATATTGGTGACTTGTTCATCCCTCGTACAATATCAAAATCAACCCGGGACAATATTAATCAATATTCATGCAATAACCCTATCATATACAGTTTACAAATCCGTTTATAAATTGTAATATATGATGTCATTAACTAAGAAGAGAGGGTGAGATTGAGGCTACATGTAAGACTGCTTATTATCTTTTTGTAGAAATGACAGTGATCCTTCGAAACCTATCACCTTACCACGTGACCAACCATTCTATCTTGTACGGAACAACGGCTCAAAAAAGTGCCAGCAAGTAAATGGAATGACATCTAAAGAAGAA